ACCTGTATAATGATGGCACTTCTTTTAAATACTTTCAATATGATCTTTCCTCACTGATTTGCAGAACATAGTGGAGACAAAAAAATAAATAAAGGTCAGATTCAAAAAACAAACACTCAAACGAACAAACTTAGTCTCTTAAAAGTGGATTGGAGTAAAATTTAGGCATTTTATTGCAAAAATTTGGATTGTGAGGATCTACACTAAGATACTGCTGGAAGAATTTAAATTTCATACATTCCTTACTTTTTGATTTTAACAATTCCAGGAGACAGAAGTGGGATGCAACTCCCTAAATAAATCTCAGCCCTAAAACTGTACTTCTGCCTATATATACCTTGACTCATTTTTAAATCCATCTGGAGCTAGGGATTAGGTTGTGCGACCTGAGAACTCTGATCTTATTTTTAGAATATTCCGAACACACTACCTGAATGAGGTTCTTCCTGCACAAATGCAGTTTTCTTTCAAATCCTGGGATCAGGATGATGATTCTTCTGTGCATTTCCTCCTTGACATTTTTCTGGATGGGACACACAATTAAAATACAGCACTCAGAAGCAACTGGCTGGATGTGAGAAGAGAGTGGGCAAGGAGAAGTGTGCATGCTCTCTCTGCCCTGCCCCTGCAAGCTTTGCTGTTCTGCAGTAAAGAAACATAGATTCATTGGGTCAGGGAGCGAGTAATCGAGACAGAAAATGACTATGTAGCCTTAGGGTTATGTCTTGCTCTGTTCCAGAGGCAATCAGTGTACTTTGATTAAAAATATTTAATCAATCTTGAAGTTTCGTAACCAAACTGTCATCACAGTCCAGGTGAATGCCCTTACCAGTAGAGAATCTCACCGTCTTTCTGGCTCCCTGGATTATAAATTGTTTGCTACTCAGTGGCACAGTTTCAACAGGAAGATGAAGAGTGATTTTTTTTTTCCTGTTCCCTACCTCCAAACCTGTACACTTTCACAAATCTTGACTTCTTCCCTCAACTTCCTGATGATATTCTTGCCACCTCTAAACTGGCTTGCAGACGCATTCTCTGATGAGCTCCACAATCTTCATTTTTTTCAGATCAGGCACCACATCAGGATGTGTGACAGCTCCCATCTGTTCATGGACTCTTGTCCTTTTTTTTCCCTCGCATAGCAAGGCTTTCCAGTATTGGATAATATTGTGACTGGGGCCTGAAACTGGTGTCAGAAGCTGAAAAGCATGCCCAAGGCATCAATTCATAAGCATACTCTAGGTCCCCTGCAAAATATCATTATTATACTTTTATGATTACTTATTCCTTCTGCTTTGTCAGATTAGCATAACTACAAAGGCCCTTTCAGGAAACCTAAAGGTTTAGTACCCTGAGAATCAATTAGACAAAAAGGGCAGGGACCATTTAAGCCACAGTGTATGTTAAAGGGCTGTTGCCTTACAATTTGCCCTGCACTAATCAGAAGAGGTTTACTGACAGCAGGATTTCAGTGAGTAGCAAAAATTCTGCTCCAGTTTGCATTGCCTTCAAGACATAAGAGGAACCATGGCGTTAATCAGACACAATTCCTCAGGAGGCTCCTACTGCACAGCTGCCTTTCTACCCTCCCCTCACAGATTAAGGCCAGAGTCTGTATCTTAATGGACAGTCTCCTTGATCTTATCATATAATAACCTCCTTTCACCCAAAAAAAGGTTTGCATCCATAAAACAGTCTTTACAAATCTGCCAATCCAAGCTGTTTAAAAGAAAGTACATTCCTCAATATGGGTCTGGATGGCAAAGAGGAGAATTACACGAGTTGTGTGAAATTGAGCCTAAATTAAAAAAAAAAGAACTATAAAGAGTAGTACCCCTTTACATAGTCTGATACTGAGTGCTTAAAAATTGATGGGCAAAACAAATATCATCTGCAGGATTCATATAGTGCATATTGAAGCAGCTGCCTGAGCTCCAGCAAAACATTTCTGTCATTGTCATTAATTTCCAGAAAGGGCAGAATGCCATCTAGCTGCTAGGGATGGCCTCTCACAACTGAATTTTGTTGAAAGATAGTCAAAGACGGTTGTCATTCAGTGGCATAAATCTTAGTATCAAAGAGGATTTCCCTTTATTTTTATAAGCATCACAGGAGAGAAGGCTGGAGCACCAAGCTGATCCTTTTGCAGAATACTACATTTTTTTTTAAAAGCCTGCTGAGTGATGAGATGTCACCGGATAACTGTGCTTTTCATATATTTCAGATAGTAAGGTGTCAGGATCTAAAATTCCTATTCTAACAATACCCTGGAGCTTAAACAGCTATATGGATAGTGGCATTAATCAATTGCTTTCCAATGCATTACTTAACAATAGCATAAGATTGACAGTTACAGACCACTTGGAACATTTTCCTAAATCTGATTATTTTGTCTTTTTTGAAGGGAGGAGAATTACACAGAAGATAATAATAAGAAAATAATATGAAAGAAGTTCTTACATACAAGGCAAACTTCTGGTAACCTTTTTATCACTCTCTCTCCAAGCAACCCATTTTTAAAGGTGGGACTGGTGGGTAGGGCTTCATAGCTTGGTTTCATTGACAAACAATGAAGATCACATTAAACCAAGGTTATTCTCTTGCAGCCCACTTTGAGTCCAAAAGGCTTCTCAGATGCTTTGTCCCCAATAAAACAACTTCATATCAGATTCTGTTAAAACACGTGTCACAACAGTGTTTTATCTTATAATTTCAACTAATTCTCAATACTTTTCACATGAATCAGGTGCAATAAAATAAAATAAAAAGATATCTTTTTATCTGCATAAAAAGATTGTATTATTTGATAACAGTAGAATAAATGATATTGGACTTTTTTTATAATTAAGTTGGCCATATAGGCTGAAACTGTCCTTCAAATATAATTTCCCTTTTTAAGGACAAGACATGGGAAACCTTTCTGTTACAGATAATACTACTATTAATGTACACAGGGAACCTAGCATGATTAGTATTAAAGGAGTATGACTCCATTTTTTAAAGTATTTAGGAGATGCTATGTAACCATTACAACTCTTATGATCCAGGTAACTTAAGGTCTGCAATGTATGAAAAATTTGACCATAGGGTAATTAAGCTAGCTTTTATCTTGCTAGCTAGGATAGTGAAAACTTCAGTGAAAGTCTGGAATTCATCGCCTGTTCCTATGCATAAGAAGTCCTGAGTTATTGAAGCTTTTGTTCGTGCAAGCTCACTGCTTTCGGTTCAGAATTAGCAGATTTAAGCCATCTTGAGTAGTCTTAAGCCCAATTTGTAGCATCCTTTGACTGCTATCTACATTAAGTTTTAGGCAAGTTCTTGTTATTTTTAATGCAAATTAGGAATAAAAGTTGGAAAGAAAACAAAAAGGCTTTAAAAAAGCCATATCAGAAGTGTTTCCAGGATCACAGAATCACAGAAAGGTTCAGGTTGGAAGGGACCTCTGGAGGTCACCTAGTCCGACACTCCTGCTCAACCAGGGTCACCTACAGCACAGTGCCCACGACCCTATCCAGACAGCTTTTGAATACTTCCATGGAAGGAGACTCCGCAACCTCCCTGACCAACCTGTGCCAGCGCTCAGTCACCCTCACAGAAAAGAAATTTTCCCTCATGTTCAGATGGAACTTCCTGTGTTTCAGTTGGTTCCTGTTGCCTCTCGTCCTACTGCTGGGCACCCCTGAGAAAAGTCTGGCCTCATCCTCTTGACACTCTCCCCTTCAAATACATTTACACATTGATCAGATCCCCCCTCAGCCTTCTCTTCTCCAGGCTGAACAGGCCCAGCTCCCTTTGCTGAACTTCACGAGGTTCCCCTCTGCCCAATTCTCCAGCCTGTTAGGGTCCCTCTGAATATGTTACAGTATAGATGCTACTTAAAGGATAGATTGAAAGTCACAGTCTCCAAGTAAAATAGCAGCACATTCTCCTTGAGACATTCTGGTTAATAAACTGTGATTTATGTGTATACCATCAATAAAATGTTGTGAAAAACAAAACTTTTTCCTTGTTAAACCAGGCAATACTATTATAAAAATGGTATATTGTTCTTCTTGTTTTATTTTACAGTTAAACAAGATAGCTTTAATTATTATGGTCTGACATGCCATCTCCAAAACAGAAGGTACAGAACTGGAAGGTATAATACATTTGCAATGTATTTGCCAAGGATTATTTCTTTAGGCGTTAAAAAGCATGTGCATAGAGAATGAGGAAAAATGTTTAATTCTTCATGGAATCTTTACTGAAGGAGCAATTGTCAAAATGGAGTTAAGATTTATTGATTACATCAAAATATTAATTACTACATTAAATTAGATTTTAGTAAATATGAATTTGTGCCATAAAAAAGAAATAACTTGTATTATTAATGGTGTCCTGGGTGTGTTTTAAAATCTTTGGTTCCATAATGCACAGCTGATCCTTCATAGACCTCAAGTAGGAATAATTAGGAGGTTAGGAGAGCCAAGGACCTCTAAAAATCACACCTTCTTACAAAAAAAAAAAATATTCTGTGATTGATTAGGAACAAAATAGTCATAGTGATCAATATGACAGGCAAGTGGTAAGACTGAGTGGGAAAGAAATAGGTTAAAAAATATTTGAGGGGTGTGGAGGTTTTTCGAAAGGAGAGTAGATAGATGATGCCAAAACCAAAGGACAGCGTAAAAGAAATGCCATATTCAGTCAGGAAGAAATCAGAGCAGTAGAAAACGTATCATTTTTTATATCTTAGTCAGGCAGCACCGATCAGTTGCTGTGCCTAACAGAACAAACAATTATTGCAGCTGCAGAGAGGAAAGAAATAATAGTAACATAGCAGTTTCCTAAGGAAAAGAAGTAGATGTGGATGTTCTTAAGAATATCCACTGAGATCCCTGTCAAGGTCACAGCCAAGCAACTGTGGGAGGGAAAAAAGATCCAACGACATGAAACACGTCATCTGAATTACTGCTGTATA